GCTTTTGGCAACATTTCTACCTAACCTCAGAAAATAGATGTTTGATTCTGTGCATTTTCTGGTGTTCACTGAAGCCATTCTCTGTTCTCATACTTCTTTTGTGAGATCTGATATCTTCATGCTTGTACTTTAAGAGTATGCTCTAAGAATTTCCACAGCTAATTGTTAATTATTAAGTAGAAATATAAAGGGTTTTATTTTATTTTATTTTGTTGTTTTTGTTTTGTTTTGTTTTTAGAAAAAGAAAAAAAAAGTGTATTGCTTTGTTAGCAAAGGAAAAACACAGGGGACTCCTGTCCCAGAGGCTATGATTCTGCCCATCAGCAGGAACATGAGACTTTTAAAGAAGTGATTCAAAGGCTGCATTCCACATGTTCTCTGTTGGAGTTGTAATTCACTTGTTAATTTGGGAGAGAGTCATTTCTGAGATCTTCTGGTACCATCCCCAAAGTCTGGATTACTTCATTCCTGTGGTGGGTGGGTTTTCAAGGACAGATACATCTGCCTAAAATGGGGAAGAAAGGTAATCATTTCCCCCCTGACATCAGGAAGTGGGAGAGATTAGGTAGAGCAGGGAGAGAGGAAGAGAAAGAAACATGTCAATTTAAAAATAAGTTGCAGAGACAGAGCAGCAAGGGCTGTATTCAAAGCTTAAAGGGGACCATGGTTACATTTCCTCACTGTCAATTTCTACATTCCATTTCTAGGGAAAAATGGGCGATGATATCTCCAAGATGCTTCCTACTGAAACAGGGCAAAGTTGGGGAAGTAACCCAAAGTCCTTATTTTCTATCAGGTGGAGTCTGGACATTTAAGGGTTTTGAGTATTAGAGCAGTCCAGAGGTCCACAGTGACAGATGGCAGGTGAGTAGACAAGGCAGACCTAGGGCAGGGGATTATGAAGGTGGCTAGTGTTGCAGCGACTTTCCTGAGTTTAATTTCCTTTTTCTCAAAGTTGACTATGATGGAGCAACCTGTACCATTCAGGGAACAAAATGTAAATTAAAAAAAAAATAAAAGTTTGTCCACTACCTTAAACACAGTTCACTAGAGTTCTTACTTGTATTTGTGTTTTGTTTTGCTTTTAAATAATACCTTTCTAGCTCCCTCAACCTCACACTATTTCCAACTCCCAGTAAATTAAGAAAAGATTCATATGAAAGAATATATGAAAATCCCTTAGTCACCTCTCTCTCTTTACTTATAATTGGTCTCATTTTTGGTTCTGAGTGCATTGAGCTTGTGGGTACATTTGACTTTAAAATTCCTGGAGGTAGGCTTCTGGAACAAATGGTATCTTAATGTTCTTTGTGGTTCTACAAATCTAAATTTTAACAACTTTTATCATTGTACTAGTTCCTTTTGCTAAGAGAAAAGTAATGACTAAATTAAATTACAGAACTATCAAGGGCTGAAGTTTGGCTGTTTTTCTAATCAATGATGATGACATTTTGTCATAATTATGCTATTGTGATTACATATCTTCCATATCTTCCTAGCATATTGAAGGTTCTATTAGGCATCGAAATCAGATATTGAGTAGCAAAGAAATACATTTTAGGTATAATATCCTCATTATTAATTTACAATGAATTCTTTTAGTTAAAAACACCTCTTGATATGTATAAATTCACTATGTTTTTTTGCAATAATATTATATTTGTATCATAAGTATACTTTAGGAAGCTCAATGGTGTTTTGAGTAAATTGTAATAATATATCAATAAAAAGTTTAAATTGACATTGTATATTAATTTTTACATTGTAGGGAATTTTTTGTATCAACAAGGTTAGCTTTCTTAAGAGATTATTGCATTAACTGTTGACACAAGAACTTTTCAAAAATTGTGATCTGTCATGTTTATGCTATATATCTCAATAATTTATGACTGGTATAAAAGGAAAGTATAGCTGCATTTCATTTCAAAATAAATATGTTTATGTGCAATTGTAGTTCAAAACAGCATTAAAATACATAATTTAGCCTTAAATTTTTGTTATTTTTCATTATATATTCTGTGAAACATTTAAATGGGAAAAATAAAGAATACTAAATTATTTAGATGGATTTATTGCTTTGAATTAGTTAAAGAAGATCCTCTGTATTAGTAAAATGTTTACACTGGGATTTTTAAGGCTTCATTAATATCAGTATTTGGTCATATTGAGGTACTGTCAAGATCCTCAAGATTAGTATTCTATGAGCCTTTTAGTATTATAATGCTAAAAAAATTTTACATTTGGTCTGCCACTGGAAGGGAATTAATAGAGTACACAGAAGGGGAAATTATAGTACTCAAAATAGGCATATCAGTACATTTTTTTATCCAGTAGACCAATCAACCTGAAAAGCCAAAATGTAATCATAAAGGCTCTCAATCATGGAATCAGAGAAAAGGGAGTTAGGTGACTAATGTCAATGGCTTCTCTCATTATGCCGCTTTACCTTAGTTAATTCAATTACTGATAGGGAAGATGTATTGCACAATGCAGAGAATAGAAGAGATATCTGCTTATATGTACAGTGTTGTAGCTTACTATAAAATTTAGCCACTGTTTTCGCCCCCATTCTCTCTCCCTTAAAATATAGCAAATGAGATCTACTTCAAAAATATAGCAATTTGTCAAGTACATTTACATTTCTCATTAGAGACATATTTATCATAAAATAATCAATATATTAACTTAAAATGTGACAATTTTCCACTGAATTATCAGATGTGAAAACTGGCAAGTGTTTGAAAATCTTTGTTGTAAACTTGAGTCCCTTTACTTCTATCATTGCAGCATCAAGAATGTAAGGTAATAGGAAAGTGGTGTTGGTAATACTTTCAGTAAGAGCAAGAGGTGCTTAGTATGAAGCAATAGAACTTTTGCCAGTGTTTCAACAAAATCCTACACTCTAACACTGTAAAAGTGATTTCTTGGTAGTGTGAATTTAAGTGTATGATGATTTTAATACTCTGATTTTGATTGGATAGTTTGGATTTGTTAATTAAAAGCTGCAGAATAGTCTTAAGGTATATTTTCAGGTCCACATTTCCTCAAATAAAACTATGAATGAATTATTTATATTCTATAGCTAAAATGGTGATCTCTCCTTATACTTATAGATGCCAAATTTAAATTCATTTCTGTCAAAAGGAAGGCTAAGCAGGCAGAGTGGTGAGTGCCAAAGTTCCAGATATTTGGGAGGGGAGGCAAGATTATCACAAATTCATGGCCAGCCTGGGCCAGATCCTGTCTTAAAATAAAAATAAAAACAGGTTAGGGATATAGCTCAGGGTAGAATGCCCTGGGTTCAATCCCGGTACAATGAAAAAAAGAAAACAGAAAAAAAAAAAAAAAAAGATGGAGTGGGGAAATTAAGAGGGTTACATACTACATTTCATTTGGACACCTCCAAAATTGAAGTATTCAATGCAGCATAAGTTTCCCAAACCTCACAAATATAGGTGAAATATGAGTTCTGATATCTCAGAATGTGATAATTCTGACTGTGGTTATTTAAAAACAGAAAATAATAATGTCCAGGCTGAGAGAACTGAGAACAAATCCTTAACAAGTGGCAGAACACTTATTGCTGTGAGAGTTACTGATCCTTGCTGGTATATGATTTCTTCAATGTGTAAAATGTAGGTAATAATAGTTATGATCATGCAAGGATTAATAATGTGGCATATAGTAGACATTTAAAAATGTTAGTTTTTATTGCTACTCCTTCCCCATATTCTAGGCTAGACTTTTTTTTTTTTTTTAACTGTTAGGAAACAGGAACAGAATGTCTTTTCAAAGTAAATGTATATTTTATAACTCAGTCCCTCAACTCAGAAACTACAATATAAGTAATTGATAGAAATATTTTACAAATCATTTATCATATTATGTATCTCCCACTATGTATTATTATTTACTGGCTCTCTCCTATTGGGATGTTAAGTACATAAGGGTCTGAATACTTCTCAGTTTTTTTTTAATACTTTATTTTACTTATTTATTTTTGTGTGGTGCTGAGGATCAAACTCAGGGCCTCACACGTGCTAGGCGAGTGCTTTAACGCTGAGCCACAACCCCAGCCCTATTTCTCAGGTTTTGTTTGCTGGTATACCCTAAGAGTGTCTACAACCTAGGATTTTTTTTTTTTTTTTTTTTTTTTTTTAGTGATTAAAGAATGAACAAATTGCAACTCCTATCACACATAGTGTTAAGGTCTTTAAAGTTTCTGCTTATAATTTCATGGGTAAAAATTATATACAGGATTATTTGATACATGATAATTATTTACATGATTATCAGCATTGTTGATCTTAGACATGCAACATACTGTCCAGAGAAGGTTAAATATAAGTTTTCAGTTTCACGATGTCTACTCTTTGAGTTTGGAGGAAATAAAAACTAAGAAGTGGTTATGTTGCCAATAAAGTGGCTGTTATGGGAAGCTAGTATGCTTTCTGAGGAAGATGACAGGTAAAAGTTTTATCACGACGTTCATGGAATCACAAATTATATGTGTGGCTGTTTGATTCTTGGAGTCCAGGATTCTTGCTTCGGTAAGTAGCAAAGGAAGAAAACCGCAATATATTTTCTTGAAAGATCTCCTGATGCAACTCTGTTTACAGCTTTCATATCAGCACCCAGGGGGAGTTTTTGGCCACAGACTCCCAGAAACCCTATTTGTTCCCTGTCCCTGGGCTCCAAGAAAGAACCCCAAGGGCCTGGGACTGAGGGTAGGGCGGCTCGCACTTCTCACCTGGAGCGGGCGGGCTCGCGTGCCTACGCTGCTGTTTCTTATAAGCCCTATCCTGACACCAGAGGTGACAGGTATGGCGCAGCCTAGCGCCACCCACTTATCATGCAGTCTGGTGACTGCCTTCCAAGCTCCAGGCAGCGGTGAGCTTCTGGGGGAGGGTCCGGATGACTGTGGCGGCGAGACTGCCAGAGGTGGGAGGGCCGGGAGGTGGGACGCTTTTCCGCACGGGGGCGCTGTCACCTGTCCAGGGGAGGAGCCAGAAAGGAACCTAGCGTTTTGCTGCTCCGAGGCACTGGAGTCGGGAGAACAGTTCACGACAATGAAGGGAACCAAAGGCATTGAGAACCCGGCTTTCATTCCCTCCAGCCCAGACACCCCGCACCGCTTGTCTGCGTCGCCCTCCCAGGTGGAAGTCTCTGCTTTATCCTCCGACACCCAGAGGGAGAGTTCTCAGCCACAGGAGTCTCCGGAGTCCCACAAGTCATGGGAACCTCCTCTGCCTTCATCAACTGCCCCGGCTTCCGAAGAGCGCCCCGGACCACAGTCGGAGTTTGAGGAGGGGCCTTGCGGATGGAGCAACTTGCATCCCCAGTGTCTCCAGCGCTGCAACACGCCACAAGGGTTTCTGATTCACTACTGCCTGTTGGCCCTCACTCAAGGTAAAGTCAAGAGTTCTCTCAAGGGGGCGTCAGCCGGGTGGAGAGCTAGCGAGGCGCGGCGAGGTTTCAGGGAGAAGGGGGCAGGTGCAGGGATCCCCGCGCCGCTGACTCGCTGTGCGAGGCGAGGTGGGCTTGGAATTTGTTGGAACCACCACCGACGACAGCCTACCAGGTTCAGCCTTCCACGTTTTAGCTTCTTCTTTATTGCAACATATAAAAACTTGCTATACAAGCTTTTTACTATTTTGTGCTATTTTGTGCTTTTCCTTGGTTAAGCTGATTGGATTCCTCCAGGAAAGATTAGAAGAATCTCTGGGAATGATATAGCCCCGGGGGTAATCCATTCTACTTTTAAAAGCCTATTTTTTCAGAGTTCTTTATTAAAGGGATTATTTTCCATTATTTCTCCATCTGGATTAATAAATTTGTAAATGAAAATAGGTCCCTTCGGAAAGGAAATAAATTTAAAATCTGTAGTATAGATTAGATATAAGCATTCACATTTTGTGAGTATATTTAGATAGGGGCTTTGGACACCATTGCATTCCAGTGAGTACATTAGCAAAGGCTTCAGGCCTTGTGGAAGGGTGAAGCTTTCCTAGCCATTCAGGCACAGGAATTATCCAGGATCTGTTTTGTTCCAGGAATTTCATTTTGGTTTTCTTGGGAGTTACAGATTAAGTCCAGATTTAGGTCCTCAGGAATATGCAATCTCAACGAGTTTAGAAGAGAAGAGAGAGAGAGAGATGGTGGAAGGTGAATGACCTCCTTGAAAGAAAGCATAGTGAAGGTGAGAGGAGTAGGTGTAGCTTATAATGCAAGGAATGAACTAAGTGGGACATTATCCTAAGGTGACTCCTGGGGAGCAGTGTATGGATGTGTAAAGTGGAGTAGACTGAAGGACACATTGAAGCTTAGTTTCTTGTCCTCCCCTCAGGTCTCCTTCTCAACTTACTTGTCAAGAGTCAGTGATTGTGAAATGTCTTAGTGTCAAAGGAATGTAAAATTCAAAAACTCGAAACTTACCTTGTTTTTTTTTCCTTAAAATTTATTGTGAAATTTCTAAATTATTTTAGAATGTCATTTAAACTTAATATATAATCTTGTTTTAAATTATTATAAAATATAATTGGTGCACTTAGAAAAATGTTTGTTTTAGCCTGAAACTTCATGTACAGAGAAATCACCAATTTAAGAAGCATAATCTGGGATGAATGTGATCCAATAAATTAATTCATGTTTCAGTTTAAGTTTCAGTGACAGAAAACATCATTGCCATAATCCTTGGGAAGACCATTTCCATCATATATTAATAGATGTTTAATTGGGAAGGAAAGCAAAATTTGAAGAAATTATTTAACTCTGCATTTCTCAAAGACAAACAGGATTTCTCTTAGCACTTAACTTCCTAATGTGCTTCCTATCTCCATGCATTTACAATAGCAAGAAATGTGTGTGTTATTTCATGGAAGTGTTTTTAAAAGCAGTGTTCTTGGAATTTGTATAGCATAGAGTTCACTTAGGGATTCATAGGATTAAAGTGTAGTCCTTCCAGAGGAAATTCCAATTTATTTTCAAAGAGAAGTTGTTCCCTAATGATTTCTAATGACAGATATTTAATAAGTATGAGAGGTGTGGGAAGTTGATTTTTAGGTGGGGGGATTTTCAAATTATCAGATATTTTCTTTTTTTTTATTGGTTGTTCAAAACATTACAAAGCTCATGATATATCATCTTTCATACATTTGACTCAATTGGGTTATGAACTCCCATTTTTACCCCAAATACAAATTGCAGAATCACATCAGTTACACACTCACATTTTTACATAATGGCATATTAGTGACTGTTGTATTCTGCTACCTTCCTATCCCCTACTATCCCCCCCTCCCCTCCCTTCCCATCTTCCCTCTCTACCTCATCTGCTGTTGTTCAATTCTCTCCCTTGTCCCCCCCCCCCTTTCCCCTCACAACCTCTTATATGTAATTTTGTGTAACATTGAGGGTCTCCTACCATTTCCATATGCTTTCCCTTCTCTCTCCCTTTCTCTCCCCCCACTCTTCTCTGTTTAATGTTAATCTTTTCCTCATGCTCTTCCTCCCTGTTCTGTTCTTAGTTGCTCTCTTCATATCAAAGAAGACATTTGGCATTTGTTTTTTAAGGATTGGCTAGCTTCCCTTAGCATAATCTGCTCTAATGCCATCCATTTTCCTGCAAATTCTATGATTTTGTCATTTTTTAGTGCTGCGTAATACTCCATTGTGTATAGATGCCACATTTTTTTTTTATCCATTCATCTATTGAAGGGCATCTAGGTTGGTTCCACAGTCTAGCTATTGTGAATTGTGCCACTATGATCATTGATGTGGCAGTATCCCTATAGTAAGCTCTTTTAAGATCCTCAGGGAATAGTCCAAGAAGGGCGATAGCTGGGTCAAATGGTGGATCCATTCCCAGCTTTCCCAGGAATCTCCATACTGCTTTCCAAATTGTCCTTTCCTAGGTACTTCAGATATTTTATCTTGAAATCTCAGAAATTGTTAAAGTCTTATTAAACTGGCATAAGAGTAAAAACCATATTAACACATTTGAAAGCTGCAATTTCAATTTTCTTGAAATAATTTTTAATTAAAGTCTTGATACAGCAACATTTAAAGAGATGTTAAAGATTTTGCCATGTGTAAACTCATTGTATTAATTAATAATGAAAACAGTTCTTGATACTTAACTAAAATACATAACTAGTTAAAATTTGAACAGGCGCTTTTAATTTTCAATTTATGCTAATGTTTAAACTCTTGTAAATTTCATCTATACCTGGGCAGGACACTTAAATCAGTCAAAGTTGGGTTTTCCAATCTTTGTTTATCTTGTAGTCCTTCATTATATTTATAATAAGCAGAGGAAATTCTTTTTTTCTTTTTCTACAGTGCATATGATTTAGAATGCTAGTGGTTGAAATAAAACTCAACTCATTTTTTTTTCGCTATAACCTTTTAAATGATATATTCAATATCCATATAAGTTTTAGAAAAAAATAAAAAGAGGTTTGAGAGCTTAATTTCCTCTTCTTAAAACTCAAGGTGAGCTGTTGTGATAGATAAGTATGTTAGGTCTCAGGAAGCAATTGAGCATTACTTTAAGGCCTTTAGGGTCACTTGTACACTCTGTACTCTTAGGTCTTTTTAAGTACAGAACATTTGACAACTGGCAAACCGACTTCATGGGACTCTATCAGTCTGACTTTTATTTATCACTTAAAGGAAAATGAATTAAGGACAATTAACTGCAGTTTAGTATGTGGCAAGCATCAGTTTTGTTGGGCACCTGAAAATTCGCAAGTATACAATTTAAAAGGCAAACTGATTTTCGAGGAAGTATGTTCAGGTTGCCTATCTTTGAAACTTTGAGAACTTTAAAATTGACACTTTTAAAAACAACAAAAAAGCCAAACTTTTTAGTAGATTGTGTTAATAATCATATCCTATGTAGTAAACTTAGCGTAATCCACTTAAATTTCCTTTTCTCTTTTTTAGGTGTTGTTGTAAATGGCTTAGTAAATATCAGCATATCCACTATTGAGAAGCGCTATGAGATGAAGAGTTCCCTGACTGGCCTGATATCATCAAGCTACGATATTGCCTTCTGTTTATTGTCATTATTTGTATCATTCTTTGGTGAAAGAGGACACAAGCCCAGATGGCTTGCATTTGCATCCTTTATGATAGGACTGGGGGCACTTGTATTTTCCTTGCCACAGTTTTTTAGTGGTCGATATCAACTGGGGTCCATTTATGAAGGTAAGTTTCTGTTGTGTTTTTGTTTGTTTTGATTTCAGAAAGTAGTACAACACCAGATCATTGACTCTTGTAATTTACTTCTACGGAGGGGAAAAGGTTAAGTCTTTTCCAGAGCTTACTGCATACTTCATCATGTGAATTTGTATAAGGTAGAAAATTACAGAGACAGGCTGTACATTACTTGTCATTTCAGTAGTTCTCTGAGTTTTTAATCCTTTGATTCTCATTACCTATACACATGCAATCCTCCTCAAAACAAGTGTTCTGTTTGTCTGCAGGTGTTGTGATCTCACTGGGGTTCTGTAATCTCTAGTTTTTCCTTCTCTGCTATTATATGCAGTGCTTACAGCTCTGTGCCTGGAACATGTTGATTCCTGATTTGAGACAAAGAGAGGTAACATTAACAAGAGCAGGACTTTTCCTAAGAACTGAAACTAGCTCTTTGTTCTCCAGTTTAGAGACATAACTTCCGGGCAACCTACAGGGTTGCTTCAGTTAGGTGATATACATTCTTCAGAGGCACAGAAAGGAAATTTAATTATTTCAATTTTTTTTCCCAAAGAATCATTTTTTTTTAATGGAAAAACAATTATGGTAGAACTGGAGGAATGTGCTAATGAAAGTTCAAGTTAGCATTTTTATGTCCTTTCTGGGACATTTAATAGCAAACATTAAAATTATGAGGAATAAAATCAGATGGTTACAAATTTAGAGACCTTCAGGGATTAGGTAAGTGAGGACAAGTCTCAGAATACAAGGAGAATTGGAAACTGCTGAACTATAGGTGTTATTTTTGAAAGTTAAAATACTTATATTTGCTTGTTAGAATTAAAAAATTAAAAATGTTAATTGCTCCCAAGACACATTTCCCAATTATGATAACAAATAGCAACATGTTCTCAATAACAAAGTATAAAATATGCTATGATTTAAAAAGTGCACTTAATAGGTAAGTAGACTTCATTTTAAAGTAAAAATAGAATATACAAGCAGATGAATAGGGAGTGTTTTAAAATGAATAAGAAAGATAAGGAGAATGTGTTATCAGTGGAAAAAGATTCTAGTCATTATCTAAGATGGGACCAAATTTCATTAGGCAAATTTGACATAATTTCACTGGGGGCAGTTTCAGGAACTAGGCCCTCATTGTAGCATGGGCTGTAGTATAACACCTTTCAAAATCTCAATGGTAAGGAGATATCTAAAGCTTGATCTGCCACACAGGAACACATGGTACTGATTGCATGATAGCAAAGTGTTTTTGTGTTTATGGCATTTAGGTGGTTACCTCTGTGTTGCCTCTAGGTCTTTACTCTTCTAGTTAATCAGCTCCCTTCTAGTTCTTAAAATAAACTTTGCACAAGTCTCTGATTTTCTAAACTAAACATAAAAACTTCTTCCCATACAAAGCTTGATCTGTCTTCAGCAGTCTCAGTATTGTCTCTTGCCACACACACTGGAATTACAGCCAATCTGGACAATTTATGTTTCCTGAAGGGAAATGGCAACAAGTTAAGGTGTGTGGTGGGGGTGGGGGTGGGGGTGGGGTGGGGTTGGGAGATGAAGCTAAGAAGATTACTGAAGCCAGATCATAAATTTTTAGTACATTATTGTGTACTAATCAGGTTTTCACCAAATTCTTGTTGACCACGTGGGCATTTTTCATTATCATAGTAGGTCAGATTTAATAGATCATTGAAATAGAAAAACTCAGGTTGGCCTTATGTTGTTCTGCCATCATACATTTGTTGGTATGGGCTGTACATGGTGCTGAGATAACAGCAGTAAAACAGTTCCATGCCATCTGGATTTTATGTACTAGTGGGAAGAAATATACAATGAATAAGCAAGGTAACTGGAGACTGAAGTTAGAGACAGAGGGGACACACGGTATGAAGTCATAGTGTACAAACAGGTAAATGGGTGGGCAGAGAAGGCTATTGTAATAATAACTGGATAAGGAGGGCCAGCTTGAAAAATGCTTTCCATATTGGAGAAAAGCTCTAAGACTGGCTGATTTTAGGAATTGTCAGTTTGGGCTGACCTGAGAGCAGCAGGGAAGAATGTAGCATGAGATGAACTTGAAGAGGCAGATAGATACCAGGGTGGCGTTTAAATTTTTCTTGAAATGGTGAGGATTACACAGGGAAGCACATTGATCTTCTTTGAAATCACTTTGAGAGTTTTTTCTGCAGTTCTGGTGACAGAAACAGTGGGGGCCAGGGGTGGTAGTGGTAGAGATCTACTGGATGACTGACAGTATATTTTAGAGGAAAAGGATTTATTATGAAGGAGGAATGAATACTGACTCCTTTATATTTGGCGTGACCAACTGGGACAAAATAGCAGAATGTTGAAGACTAGGGACAACAGAGTGGGGAGTGGAAATAAAGAATTTGGGTTTGGCCAACTGGGGATATAGCTCAGTTGGTAGAGTGCTTGCCTTGCATGCACAAGGCCCTCAGTTCAATCCCTAGCATTGCACAAAAACAAAATAAAAAGAATTTGGGTCTGGACTTGTTAAGTATGAACTGTATATTATATATCCAGTGTTGTAATACATTTTCTCAACATATTAATCTAAATATGCAAGTTATTCATTAGGCTTAGTTTCTAGAAGTGCAAACATTGAATCTGAAGGGCTTCTTCATTCTAATTTTTGATAGATGATGTTTGGGACGGGATGTCAGTTCCTTTTTTCAACTATCAATATATGAATATGCCTATCTGCTATTTTTTTTTTTCTGGTATCAGAGAGGGATTGAACTCAGAGGCACTCAACCACTAAGTCACATCTCCAGCCCCATTTTGTATTTTATTTAGACACAGGGTCTCAATGAGTTGCCTAGTGCCTTGCTGTTGCTGAGGCTGGCTTTGAATTTTCGATCCTCCTGTCTCAGCCTCCCCAGGTGCTGGGATTACAGGCTTGCACCACTGCACCCACTTTAATTTTTTTTCTTGAAGTTTCTCCTTAACACAAATATTATCATGGTGGGTGTGTATGTGTGTGTTTGTAGGTGTAGGTGTAGGTGTTTACACTATAGTAGATATAGAATTCAGGACTAAGATTACATTGCACATCTAAAAGAACCCAGATATTTAGAAATGGAAGGAATATTAAAAATAATAAATCTCTTTTTTTTACAATGTAGAAATGTAGGACATATTTTAGGACTTTCATGAAAAAGTTACTTCATAGTGATTTTATGCCTGGTTAATACCAGATAAAACTAATTCTAGTACTTATGTTTTTTGTTTTTTTTTTTTCTCTCCAGCACTGTAGATGGAACCCAGAGGCTTGCACATACTAGACAAGCACTCTAATTATGTTTTGTTTAATATTTTTCAAATTTTTGTACTTATTACTATTGTAGGTTATTAGCTATATTGAATGAACTCAATATTTTCATGAATTTAAATAATTTAGTGTCTAAATTCAAGTATGATGGTCTACATTTTTTTAAAGCATCATAACTTGTCTTCTCAAGTAAATTAATATACTTTTGCAACTATGGGAAGCTGTAACCAAAAATCTGAGTTATTTTTGTAACTGTAAGGAGAGTAGAGTAGAAAACTGGGTACTTAAGTGTGAAGAGGAAAACAAGTGAATTGAAAGCTTCCTGTAAATGAATTAGAAGGAAGGGAATGTACAACCTTTTAAAGTAGCATAACAAAACATAATGACCTATAATATAAAAAAGAGCATACTATTAAGAAATAAATTTTTCAATTGAAATCATATATGTAGTTTAATTAGAAACAAACCCTGAGGAAATTAACATATGCTTGTGTGCATTTTTTTGTAGCTAATGTTTTTTTGAACTTGAGGGAAATAAAAGTCAGGGTTCGCTTTGGACAAGATGATCTCTATAAGAGGAGATTAAAGTAATGCACTGTAGTTAGAGGAAGAAAACAAAGTATGAAATTTGATAAGCATGTATAATTTCTACAGGTGTGAAAATAACAAAAAGAGGTTAAGAGTTAGCAAAAGGTAGAAAGGTGTATTTGAAAACAGCTTCAATGTTTTATTGTTTTGTAAAAAAATAAAGTGGGTTTGGGGGAAAGGTTTTTAAGGGAAGCTTTTATGGAGACATAAGGGTTAGAGATAATTGTCTAACTTTGAGTCGAGATGATAAAATTTATCAAAGGGAAGTTTTGGTTGTTATTGGATACAAAAAGAGGAAGTATTAAAATTAAAAGGAACAAATATTTCTAGGGCTAACTTTTGTACATGTTAACCTGAAAATAAGTAGTGTCAAAACATTTTCACATGTCATATTTGATGCTTTTTTAAAAAAATCTTTTTACTTCCAATGGGTATTGACATTCACTTTTAAAATAACAGTATTATAATTTTTACGTATTTAACATGCAATAAATAAATCTTTGTTACATAACATTTTTTTTCATCGAAGTACACTTTAATTCCTTTTGGATCAGTGTTTTTATAATGCTAAGAAAAATAATCTTTTTGTCTCTTTGCAACTCAGGGAGGGAGGTCATTTTTCAATAGCAAGGAATTGGTGAAAAGTGATTACTAAACCCAACAAAGTACTTCTTCTTGATCAGTTTTTTTTCCTAAGTTGTATTGTTTCTATTTTCCATCCCCTCCCTTCTCTCCCTGCAAAATGTAAGCTTCAATGATAAAAGTTTCAATTTGTTACAGAAGTAAAATGCTAAATCTTTATAACTGGCATTTTTTGAGAGAGTTCTGTATAAAGGACTTTGATTATGCTGAATAACTACTTCAAAAGTTGTGCTAGAAAAATTTTTATTCAAGTGAGACTCAGAATTGAACTTAATTTCTACATACTTTCTCTTTTGTCTTGTATTCTCAAAAGTTTTTTTTTTTTTCCTATTTATTTATATTTAAATACGGAATGCCTGCCCAGATTGGAGAAGACCTAGAGCAAAGAACCTTAGAATTTCTCAACCACTAATTCAATACAGGATGCTTTAATTTTGGTTGGTCTTGGAGTATTCTTCCCTCTTTTACTATT